TGGTCCACCGTGGGTAATACGTTACATCGCATAGAGCGACTTCAAGTTGTCCATCTGAGTTATCGATAGTATGAAGCAGTTGAATAGACTGACCATTTGTTATTCCTGGGAGTGTAACATACATATTAAATATACAAAGATACTATATCATAACTTAAATATGAAATCAACTTACATTACTAATCAGTCGATTTTAGTAAGTGGCTCTGGTGCTAATTTGTTTTGTTGAATTCCCTGGTATCTTTGAAAAATACAGGGTCACGGCAACTAGCGATAAAATGGTGCACGATTGGTTCCACAATCCAATGCAATTTTGGCAGAATCAGTTAAACTTTGCCATATGGTGTGCAACAACAGGATGTGGTGTATCTCTTTATGCTCCAGGATTTGAACTAAATAAGTCTGTTTTATCATTTCATGTGTACTATCAGATTAGACGTATACTTAAAGAAATTAGTGCCCAATTACCGCAGGATCGATCATGGAATGCATCAAATAATCCGTACAATAGGTGGGCATTCGAACATATTTGTCAGGAATTTAATGTTTCTACGAGTAAAGATTGGCGTCTGAGTGGAGTTAACCATGGTCTAGGTATTCCGTACGCTGGTGCACACTCCTCTGTTAAAGAAGTCAGCGATGGGGGTCGGCTTCTTCCGAGCTTTGCTCTCTCGAGTATCGAGTGGAGAGATGATCTATGAAATTTAAGGGTGGTGTTGCTTTCACCGTCCTAAAGGTTGAGCAACCACCTGGAAATGCTTGGAATGAATTTCTTAATGATAAAACAGAAAGAATTTAGTAACCCAGGAGTTGTAAGAGTTATAATCAGTTAAATCAATAAGAACTTATGTATGGGCAATTCTTGGTGCACAATCGCAAACACGAACGGGAATAATGGGTTCTGGGACGGCGCTCGATGCACAAAAACGGTTTGTTGCAAATGTAGAGGATGCTATTAATTCACCAGTTGACATATCATCTTCTATAAAACGTTATCAAAATGTATTACAGTACGCTCAATCCAAAGTAGACTACGTTTATGCGCCAGGACTATACATATCTCCGAGTAATATGGAACTTAAGATCGGTAAAGTGATCGGTTATAATAATACAATTGTTATTGCTACCGATCAACAAAAACCAGGTATAAATTCAGATATTAATACTGAATTAATAACGAAAACAAACAGGCAAAACGGGAATAGTCAAGCCACAGCCACCACGTTTCACAGCCATCTACTAATGCACAACCACAAGTGCCACCACATCTTGCAGCTAAAAATCAACAACATATCGATGAAAAAACAGCGCTTATAGTAGGTGGAGTCGCGGCTGGTTTACTCATGATTTGGTTAAATAGTTCTTAATGAACTGATTTGGTTAAATAGTTCTTAGCGGATACGTACAACAGCCCTGCAATTGCTACGATCAGTGCCCAAAAGTTTTGACTAAGCCAAGTGGTGGTCTTAGCTAATAAATTTAAGAGCCAGGAAACAATACTCCCTATTATACCGGGAAGTGCAGACGCGGCTTTCCCAGTGCCGAACCTAATGCTTTTAAATGTTTTTTTATCCACTCTTTTACACCCTTTTTATCACTGGGTGGTGTGCCACCTCCTGTACCACCGGTTAACACAAGAGTCAAAGTCGATATAATGAATCCCAATGCAGTTAAAATACTGGTAATGGTTATCCCCTGTTCTCTGAACAATGTTTTAATTTTATCGGCCAGTGTAGTGTCATCATTGAGGACTTGATCGACAGTTTGTCGAATTAGACTGATTTGTGAACGAAGTGCCTTTCTATTACTGGAAGCAGCCTCAAGGCGGGCCGATCTTTCATCTTCTAAGTAACGCAATGTTTCTGCAACGCGGCGTCTACTGAATTCATCACCTGCCTGTTCAAGTTTTGTTTTCTCATAAGCTATATGCTTGTCGAGTTCGGATAGCTTGGATATATTATTGATGAGTTCTCCCCGCATTGTTTGCATTGCCTTGTCAAGACCTCGTAATACCCTAATACTGAACTCTGAATATGGTGATACACTGACCGTGGAATTATCGTAGTAGGTATCCAAGATTTCTCCGAGCCCGTCCGAGGCCAGCTTCAAGCTTTCTTCCAAATTATCTTTATCTATGTTACCAAGTTCAGTATGCACAGTCCTAAGAACCTTAGTAGTCTTCGCAGCAAGTTTTTCTCGTGAGTAGTCTACAAAACCTAATTCATTACGAACAATGTTGATGCCGTGTTCACTGGCTATCGTAGACAAGGCTAGGGGCTTATGAGTACGAGAATTCATAAGATCAATATCTGGAGAGCCACTCAGTCACAATATTCCTTTACTATCTATCGTAAACTTTGAATAGTCACGACCAATTGGGCTAACATCTTTAAAGGTATCGTAATAATCATTAACGGTTGATTGTAAAAGTTCATCGTTAAGATTCGTAAAGCTGGTTTCATCAGTACCCTCTTCGGTTGTACTAGGGTTATCAAAGTCATCTAGATTAAAATCATCCATTTTTATATTAAACATAAGGTTACATAATTTCAATATAACAATGTCTTCGCAATACGGACGCAAGTTAAACCCACAACGTAGACTTCGAGATCCATTAGGGGTCAAAGCAATTCGCCAGTCTGTAACTATAACTACCGGTAATAACCCGAGTACCATTGATCAGAATCAAACGCTTCTGGTTCACTTTCCTAATCTCGGCCCACACGATATGTTAGTTCCGGGAACTGTCCGACTAACATTTACGATTAGTTTGACTTCTACCAACGTTAACAGGGAGCCTGTTCAGAACATAGGTCGTGCTATCGTTAAGAAAATCGCAATTAAAATTAGCGGTAATGAAGTTTTGAGTATGGATGATAGCAATGTATACTATTGTTACATGGATCTCTGGAGAACGGATAAAGAGCGGGAAAACTTACAGTACCAAGGTATTTGTAATCGGAACACATTGAGACTGCGTGTGGGTGGTGATAATACCGTCGTAAAAGATCTCGCTGTTGCCGGCGCATTAGGTAACCGATTCTATATTCCACTCGACTTTGAATTACTAGATAGTCACATCAAGCATCCCTAGGTGATAGGTTAGAATACGAACTCACTTTTAATGACTATGGTAGAGTAATCAGAGCTGCTGAAGATGCTAGCTATTCCATTGACAATATCTCACTGGAGTATGATATGATAAAAGATCCTGAATTAGCCAGACAAATTCGTAACCAGTATACCGGAAGTTTAGCCATTTTGTACGATCGCGTGCTTCGACATCGAAAGATCTCAAGGAACAAAAATGATATGACGTGGAATATCAATCTAAACGTCCCAACGAGATCGTTGAAGGGTATTTTAATGCTGTTCGAGGACCCCTCTGTAGTGGTTTGTAACAATAACTGAAGAAAGGTGCTTCGTGTTAAAAAGCCCTTTTATTTAGACCATTAGGTCAGCATGGTGGCCATCTTGTTACAGCTCAAGGGAGAGCACTCTCGTTGGCTTAGCTACTAGATACTGCTTGGGTATGACTACTTAATATAGATTAATGGACTTCTGTTGACATTAACACTTATCATTACATCTCCCTTTCTAAGTTGAAATTAACATTATATAAACTCTGAATTAAACTGGTAACAATGTAAACACTTAAAAGCCTGGCTAAGCACATCAACAATAGATAAGTTTAATTTCTTTTCTTTTTTTATCAATGAGTGCTTGAAATGACACATCATGTCAAATTGATCATGTTCAGTTCCTTCCTGATGAGTGTCTCTTCTTGTCATTCAGTTTGCACATTTATGATGGCTTGCCATTCTCTTAACTTTAGAACTTAAAATTAAAGTCTCTGACAAAAACCTAGTCCACTGAAAATCAACTTCCGAAACATGAAACTTTAACAGTTCAGAATTCACACATCACTCAGTTTCGATCAGACGAGATGGCTTGTTGATGACTCGGCCAGATTGTGTTGTAGTACCATTCTGCTGTGCTTCGGGAGTTGTCAAGCAAGTTGTAGTAGTTGTTGTTGTTGCAGGCTGGTTAGTTGTAATGCGAGGTGTGTTGTCATGAGGAGTAAGGAGGAGATCACGGCGATTTCTTCTCAGTCTTCCACCTCCCTCTGTTTGCACAAGGTAGGATCTTGGTGCTACCTTTTGCACTATTTTACCTTTTGTTTTCCAGTCATTACTTGTGTCTTGATACACTCTCACACTGCTACCTGGTTCTAACTGGGGTAGAGGTAGAGGAGATGCTTTCTGGTCGAAGTAGTACTTTTGTTCCTCTTTCGAAACCAGCTTGTGTTTGATGACTTGATCTGGATCAGGTGTACTTGACTGAAGGAGATCTTTCTTCAGTGGGAGATTCATTAACAGCTGCGATGGAGAGAAACTACCAGCTAGAGGTGTGGTATGATAGGTGAGCAGTCCTAGATGAGGATCTTCACCACTGTCTATGCACTTTTTCATGATGTTTTTGACAGTCTGGACTGTGCGTTCTGCAAGACCGTTTGACTTGGGGTATTTAGGACTAGATGTAGAGTGTTTAAAGTCCCATTCAACAGCAAAATCTGCAAATTCTGCACTCGCATAACATGGTCCGTTATCACTGAACAGTTCAACTGGTGAACCATGTCTGGCAAATATGGATCGTAGTGCTTTGATGACGGCTTGGCTGGACTGTTTTGGCAAAGCAATGACTTCTGGGAAGTTAGAGTATGTGTCCAAAACTAATAGATAGTCTTTTGAGTAGAGTTCAAAAAGATCAGTGGAGACATACTGCCATGGCTGAGTAGCTACTGGGTGAGGTGATAGTGGTTCAGGTTGATGACGATGATGATAGTTCAAGCACGTCTCACCAGGGGTCCGGAAAATTTAAAATCCCAATCGGACATTTGTGTTTAGGCCACGCCCCCTTCAAATCGCGTAGCGTATTTCAGTAAGACCTTTCATATGTATATGACGTATTCATAATATATAAACAATAAAAACACGATATACATGTTCTTTGTAGTTTTATTTACATGCATAAATATAAATATTAATAATAACAATGCCATACTTTTCCCGCATCATCTATCGACAGGTTGGTTTCAATATCTTGGCTATCGATTCGTTGCAGCTGTACAAATGTCTATGTCGTCTGCCCTTCCATCGTCGTAGCGTCGGTCTAGGGTCAAAGTCCTTCAGTCTTGGTCCGCAAATTGAAATCCGCATCAGTCTGTCCAATGTTTCCGTCGTCAAAGAGCACCTTAGTCGAGTCTTGATGAGGTTTTGTTTGGAAAAACCTCGCTCACACTCTACACTGGATACAGGCAAAATGCGTCCAATTTCCATTAGTTTCACTACATTAGGGAATTGTTCCGTCAATTTAGAAGCATAGGCAGTAACTAACATCTGTCCATATGTCAACTGTCTGTAATTGTTGTACACCAAAGGCCAAAATATCCCCCATTCTCTCTCCAGAGCGTCTTTGTCAACAGGTGTATGTCCTTGTCGTCTGCTACCGTAATGGCGTCCTAAAGTCGCTATACTCTCGTCCCCATAACTTGCCAAGTCACGTGTGTTGTCAGGGAAGCCTGTTGGGTCAAGTGCACCAAATGCACTGTATAGTTCGTTGTCGGGGAATCTGTCCATCACATTGTCAACTAAAACCTGTACGCAGTCCCTAGCCCTATCAGTCAGTGTTCTGTCATGATGTGATCTCGTCATTTTGACACTTTCAAACTCGTCAGAATCGTCAGTCTTCGCCAGAAATTCTCGTAACTTCGGTCCATACGTCGGAGTTTCGGTCAGGTACTGTCCCTTAAGTCCATCTAGAAAAGCGTCGAAAGTCCTCCATATGTCACCGTAGGTCAAGTCACGTGTCTGTAAAGCCCTACTTACAGTCCCTATCATACCAAAAACGTCCTGTCAGAAAGCTGTCAAAAATCTAAATTTGTAGGTAGTCAATTGTCGCAGTAAAGAGTCTGCCATCATGTCCGTGTCACTATTATCCTCAAGCATGGCAATAAGGACAGGCAAAGCTTTAGAACAGTTGTCAATTGCTCATGTCATGGACAACCATCTCACACGATGTACTTCCGATGGTCTTACTTGAGGTTCGTCCAGGAGATCCTGCCACATCTGGAGATTCGACAAACACTTTGGCGAACGGTTGAAAAATGAAAAAAATGGTGTTCAATGTACTCTCATAATATGAGACCTCCTTCACTGCTTTCGCAACATCCACACATGCCAAAGCCAGTCTGTGTGCAACACAATGCATCTCAACAAGATGAGGACAGAAATCCTTGATGTTCACAGCCACACCACCCCGTTTGCCTAACATAACAGCAGCACCATCTGAGCCCATCCCATACACTTTCCCCAACGCAACACCAGAAGTCTTAAAAAAAGCCAACAATGCAGAAGTAATGCTCTGAGCATCAGCAGCATGCACACGTAACAATTTGACAAATTTGATAGACAAGACACCATCTTTCAAATAACAGATATATAGTATTAAATGTTTTTCACTGGATAGGTCGGTACTTTTATCAGTTATGATAGCAATCGCTGGACTCGCACAAATCTCCGCAAGCAGTTCCTCCTCAATGAGATCCGAGATAATAGTAACGAATTCAGACGCTGCCGTATCCTCTCTGTAGAGCTTTGACGTGATTTTGCCCCGTGTAACTCAGCAAGGTTGTTGAGAGATTCAAATTTCTGGAGGGGCAGGTTTTCCGAAGCAACGAAGTAAACGTTCCTTAACAGGGTGATCACTGCCTTGTCGGCTTCCTCAGTACTCTGTAATTAAAAATGATATTTGTCAAAATATTTGTAAAAATAAATCTCACGACCGATTGTATTTTATTATTATATAAATAATTGAAGACAGTAACGATAGTCATATAAATCTCACGAACGATTGTATTTTATTATTATATCATAATATAATTGAAGACAGTAAAGATAGTCATATTCGTTTTTATATATACGTTTTATATAAACATATTAAATTTACCTTGTCAAATAGAGCCTGGAGTGGTTCATCTGCCGACTTTGCTTCAGAAAGCAAAGCGACGTTGTGATCTTTGCTGCCTGCATGGTCTGTTAAGGCTGTCTTTCTAAAGACGGTCTCACATCCACTTACCATGACATCTACGTCATGATTCATTCGAGGCCAGAATAGAACTTCTCTAGCTCTCTGCTTGCATTTTTCTTGACCCAGATGTCCTGCATGTATTTTCTGCAACATCAGTTTCCGCATACCTTTGGGCACGACGATGCGGTTGCCTTTGAAGACTACTCCGTCAATACATGAAAGTTCATCTCGATAATTCCAGAAATCATCCAGGTTTCTTGGGCACTGTGAATGTTCATTAGGCCAACCTGTCAAGATGATTGCTTTTAGAGCTGTCATTTCTGGATCTATGTTGCTTTCTGCTCTGATCTGTGCGAATCTGTCGGTTGACACCTGCACTGTTGACAAGATACTGTCAACATACATTTGTACATCTGCTTCAGTTGTACTGGTGGGTGATTGATCACTAGGAAAGTTCCTTGACAGGGTATCTGCTGCATACATCTCTCGACAAGGAGTGTACATTACCTCCATGTCATATTTCTGCATGCGAAGACGGAAACGTTGAATGCGTGGAGGACAGTCATTCAGAGCTTTCTTGAAGATGGGAATCAGTGGTTTATGGTCAGTTTCTGCGAGAAACTTTCTCCCATACACATATTGATGGAACCGTTCAGCTCCAAAACACATTGCTAGTGCTTCCTTCTCGATCTGTGCGTAGTGAGTCTCTGCAGTGGTCATCGCCCTTGACGCATATGCTACTGGCATCCATGCATCTTCATGTTGTTGCAGCAGTATGGCACCAAGTCCATGTTTTGATGCATCTGTAGACACTTTGATGGGTTTCTTGGTATCATAGAATTGAAGAACCGGTCTTTGTGAAATGAGGTTTCGAAGTTCTTCCCATGATTTGTCCTGTTCATGAGACCAAGACCAATGACTGTCTTTTTGCCAACAGCTGCCTAAGTGGTGCTGATTTTGTTGAGAGGTCTTGAATGTACCTTCCTAGGTAATTAACCATCCCAAGGAACCGTTGCAGTTCCTTCTTTTCTGTGGGTTTCTGAAGATCCATGATGGCTTTCACCTTGTTAGGGTCTGGTTTGAGTCCATCAACAGAAATTCTATCTCCCAGGAAGGTAAGCTCTGTGACACCCACTTCACATTTCTCTCTATTCAATTTCAGACCACTGTTTCTACACTTCTGAAGTACTGCTTTCAGTCGCTCGTTGTGCTCTCTGGTGTCTTTACCAAAGATGATCATGTCATCCATACTGGTGTCTACACCTCTAATGTGCTCGAAGAGTTGATGTATGGTTCGATGATACACTTCTGGCGCACTTGAAATACCAAATGGGAGTCTGAGATAACGGTATCTCCCAAATGGTGTGTTGAATGCTGTCAGCATTGAGCTGGCATGATCTAGCTTCATTTGCCAAAAGCCTGAGGAGGCGTCCAGCTTGCTAAACACTTTAGCACCAGCAAACTGCGACATCACTTCTTCACGAGTTGGGAGTTTATAGTGTTCTCTCTGAACTGCTAGATTCAAATTGCGAGGATCTAGGCATATTCTCAATTTCCCTTGTTTCTTGTGTACAATCACCATCGAACTAACCCATTCAGTAGGTTCTGTAACCTCTGTGATCAATCCAAGTGATTTCATTCTGTTCAACTCTTCTTTAAGTTGATCATGGAGAGCAAACGGCACTTTTCTACAAACTTCTATGACTGGTGTGACTTCTTTGTCAACTGTTATGGTATGTTCACCAGGCAAGCATCCAAGCCCTTTGAATACATCTTGATATTCACTTATTTGTAGAATTCTGGCTGTTCAAATTTTGTAAACATTGATTTTGTAAACTCTATGAACCAAGTTCAGTCTCTCACAATCCTCCACACCAAGGGTACATCTATTGTTGTCTGGCGTTACCATGAATACAGTCTTGTTTGGTTTACCTTTGTAGGTGACTGTGTGCTCTGCCTGTCCTTCAACAGGTATGTCAATTCCACCATAAGCTTTTAGGCTCATCTTAGGAGGTTCAAATGGTGGCTGGTATTTTAGTTTATTCCACTGTGACAAGCTGATGAGGATCATGTCTGAGCCGCTGTCAAGTTTGAGGGGTACCTGTGTTACATTTATGTCAAGTGACATCATCCAAGCCTTTAAGTTAGAGACCCTCTGACTGTCTGTATCCACAACATCAACGAAGAATTCTGCATCTTCTGGTGGATAATCACATGCTTCTGCATCAATATCATAGACACGTCAGGATCGACCTGAATGAGATCTACATTGTGTAGCAAAATGTCCGAGAAGACCACATTTCAAACACTTTTGACCAGATGCTGGACATTTCTGTTTTGGGGTATGATTTCTTCCACACCGTCCACAAAGCTCTTGTTTTACTGTTTCTTGTTTACTTGTTTGCTTGTAGTTCATTTTCTGTTTTGGTTTTGACTTTGGTTTGGATTTTATGTAATGAACTGCACAATCTTCTCGTACTTCTTTAGCTTGACAACTTGCCATTTCTGCAGCACGACATGTGTCTATTGCTTTTGAAAGAGTTAATCTATCATCACGCAGTAATTTCTCTCAATAAGCACTGTTGTACACGCCACACACTATTCTGTCTCTAACCAAACTGTCTTTGAGTTGTCCAAATTCACAAGATTTAGCTTTTTGTTGCAATTCACTAACATACTGATCTATTGTCTGTTCTGCCTTTTGTGAACATGTAAAAAATTTGTATCCCTCAAATGTCACATTTTTTTTGGGAACACAGTACTGCTCAAATTTTTCTAAGATTTTTTCAACTTTCTGTTCATCTTCCTCTTCAGCCCATTAAAAAGAATTAAATACTTCTCTTGCATTTTCTCCAATGCTATGCAGCAATAAAGATGACTTGTAGACATCAGGTTTGTTTTTACCATCAACAGTAATGGTGTAGTAGCATTCCCATGCTTGCTTGAAACGGCGCCAGTTTTCACTCACATTTCCAGCAAGTTCCAAAGGTTTGGGAGGCTCCAAGTTATTCATTATCGTTGTCAGTAACTTCTTTGATGGGTAGACTTACTTCTGACACCATGTAGTGGTTTGTAACAATAACTGAAGAAAGTTACTTCGTGTTAAAAAGCCCTTTTATTCAGACCATGTGGTCAGCATGGTGGCCATCTTGTTACAGCTCAAGGGAGAGCACTCTCGTTGGCTTAGCTACTAGATACTGCTTGGGTATGACTACTTAATATAGATTAATGGACTTCTGTTGACATTAACACTTATCATTACACCCTCCAATGCATTTAAAAGAAAAACCGAGAAGTTCTACAATCCCAAGATTACAAAAGTAGAATTGACTATCGAGGGCGTGCCTAATCAACTATATAGTCAAGGAATGCTAGCGTATCAACAATGGGATGAGATTAAAAAACTATGGCTCAACATGCGAACCAAGGATGATGACCAACTACACGGTAGTGGGAGGAGAATAGAAAATGCCAGCGAGGGTGTCACTATACAGATAACGAAGCTCCAGGAATTGGCTGGTAAATTAAACATATATTTGAACCTGATTATGGATGCGCAACTTAATATACAGAATGGAAGATTCGTGCAAGCAATCTATTGATAATCTTTTACCTAAAGATCCGCACTGCGCTATCATCTGCGGGCAAATGGGTTGTGGAAAAACAGCTTTTATTCTAGATATTTTAGAAAGTCATTATCGGGGTGTTTTCGACCATATTATTATTCTGTGCCCGACTATAAGCGTTAATAAAACATACCTATCGAGAGATTGGGTAATGAATAATCCCGGGGTGTACAAAGTTGATCCGGGCGATCGTTTACAAGACTGTTTACGAGTATGTCACGAAAAATACAAAGGCGAATCAACCCTTTTCGTAATAGACAATTGCAGTGCGAGTTAAGAACTAACCAAAAAGAAAGATATCCTTTCATATTTAGCATTCTCCAGTCGACATACTCAGCATAGCGTTTGGGTACTTACTCAAAACTACAACTCTGTCCTGAAAGATCTAAGAGAGCAAACCAAAGGGGTAGCCCTGTTTCATTGCAAAGACCGAGATGCATGTGAGGAATGTTTACGTGAAAATGACTTATTTATACCAAGCCCGAACGAGATAAAGTCAGAAAACTGTTAGCAGCAACGAAGCACTGTAAACTCGTATTAAAAAAAGATCAACCAGCTGCTTATGCAATTGCTTAGCAAAATGTAGCAAAATTATAGCAAAAATATCGCAAAAATAGCAAAAATACGATAAATTGAACATTAGCGGTTATTATTATGTAATAATGTGGCTTGAAATCCTCATTCTTTCACAACATTTTATTATTACGGGCTGTATTGGATATGCCATATTATATTATGTTAGACTTAAATATCTCCTTAGGTATTACATTATGGAAGACATAATGAACATTAGTTCACATGTATTTATATATCACAATGTTGTCAGAGAGCTGAAAGCTTTGGCAAAGCAACGTGGTCTACGTGGATATTCTCGAATGAGAAAAGCTGAATTGATTGATTTACTCGGTTTGGAATACAACAAAGCCCAGACTGTTAGAGAACTCAAAGCTCAAGCAAAAACAGTGGGCTGAGAGGTTATTCTCGAATGAGAAAAGCTGAATTGATCGCTTTACTAGAGAATAATCAACCCGATGATGTTGATAAACCCACTGTTGATGAGTTAAAATTCGTACCCACAGACGGCGTTGGTAAATATCTAAGAGGTTGGAAGATGCATATTAATTCTATCATGGATGTTAATGATGTTAAGCCCATCGTATCGAGCAAAATTAACGAGGATTTAGATGATTTAAATAGTATAAAATACCAGCTGACGATTAAAATGTCATTGAGTGAAAGTAACACAGACGATAGCACTGAATATACCAAACCATATTTCCGAAGCAATCAAGAAGTTATAACCGTATCCGATACTATAAACACATCATTAGATACATCAATTCAGAGGATACAGGAAACTTTAGAACGCTGGACTAATTGAGGTTCGGGTTGGGGTGTGGATAGAATCGATAGTTTATATTTAGATATAGCAAATTATATGCCTTTCAAAGGTGGATCTTATATAGATTTACCCCTGTATTATAAAAAGAAAAAAGCCATAATTAATGTAAAAAATAAAGGTGATGACTGTTTCAGAATGATGATAAGATCTGCATTGTTCCCCGTAGACAAACATCCGGATAGACCTTCTAGCTATCCTCAAAACCATGGACTAAACCTCGATGGTATAGACGAACCTACACCAATATCACAAATTGATAAGGCGGAAAAGCAAAATAATTTAGCCATAAATGTTTTCGGACATTCTTCTAAAGGAATTGTTGTACACAGGATAAGCTCCGCTCCAGAACTTATTCCCAGAATCAATTCATTTCTGATCGAAAAAGATGGTAAATATCATTATACGTGGATAAAGAGTTTAAGCAGGCTATTATGCGATCAAACAAAACATACGGAAAAGAAATATTTCTGCGAAAGATGCCTGCATGGGTACTGCAGACAAGATCTATTAGAAGCGCATAAAGAAGACTGCAGAGGTGTTGGACAGAATGCTATCAGAATTGATATGCCAAAAGAGGGGGAAAATATATTAAAATTTGAACATTATTGTAATCAAATGCAAGAACCGTACGTAATTTACGCTGACTTCGAAGCACTTATCAAACCTATAGAAAATACCAACCGAAGCAATCAAGATAGTTTGACGTACAAAACTCAAGAACATATTCCTTGTGGGTTTGGATATATAGTTGTAAGGTATGATGGGAAAACAAACCCGCCCGTGATTTACAGAGGTCCCGATGCAGCGGGAAAGTTCCTAGAATATCATCAAAACGAAGAGAGAATAATCAGGGAAAATTTATCGCGTAAGAAACCCATGTGTATGACGAGGGATGATTGGAGGGCCTATAAGAAGTCAAAGAGTTGTCATGTTTGTAATAAACCCCTGAATAGGGATTCAGTAAGAGATCATTGCCACGTCACGGGTAATTATCGGGGAGCCGCGCATAACGAGTGTAACTTGAAACTAAAAATGAAGTATCAAACAATACCCATCCCCGTTGTGTTTCATAACCTTAGAGGATATGATTCACATCTCATCATGCAAGCTATCTCAAAGACCGACGGCGGCTTAACATGCATTCCTAATATTATGGAAAATAACATATCATTCTCGTTGACTAAAACTATACATTATACGGACAAGGATGGGAAAGCCAGAATAAGCAAAGTAATGGGCTTAGATTCATAGACTCAGTACAGTTTCTGTTATCTTCCCTGGACAATTTAGCTAATGTGAACAATCCCGATGACTTTGCAATAACAAATCAATATACCGATCGGTTAACTCGTCATTTGTTGTTGAGAAAAGGTGTATATCCTTACGAATATATGGATGATTGGACTAGATTCAACGAAACTAAATTACCACCTCTTGAATCATTCTATAGTAACTTAACAGAATCTAAAATAACAGATGCCGATCAGAACACGCTCTGACGGTGTGGGATAGATTAGGTTGTAAGAATTTAGGTGATTATAACGATCTGTACTTAAAAACCAATGTACTGTTACTCGCCAATATATTTGAGATATTTAGAAAGACATGTTTAAAACAATACGGCTTGGATCCAGCATGGTACTATTCCAGTCCCGGACTATCGTGGGATGCATTGTTGAAGATGACCGGTGTAGAACTAAAACTACTCACCGATTACGATATGCACTTGTTTATTGAGAAAGGATTAAGAGGTGGTATATCGATGGTAGTGAAAAGGTATTCTAAGGTTAATAATAAATTAGTGGAAGGATATGATCCGAGTTAACCCGACACGCACATATTATATCTCGACGCCAACAATTTGTACGGATGGGCTATAAGTCAACCTTTACCCATGGGTGGTTTTGAGTGGGTCGATGATATCGAAGTGAATGATATCCATAATATCAATGTGAATGATGTGAATAAAGGGACATACTAGAAGTTGCCTTTGAATATCCAAATTCGTTACATAAAGATCATAACAGTTATCCGCTAGCTCCCGAAAGATTAATGGTGAATAAAGATTGGATGTCGGAATATCAACACTCCTTGATGGGTAAGACTAGGTTTAGACCGGCAGCCCAGAGCACTTTGGTCAAACGAACAAGGTACCAATGTCCGAACACAGGAACATTTACTGTGTAACCCAACATATTCATATATGGATGTCTGCCGGGGAGCCCCTGCTGCGTATGGCCCCTGGCCCCCCAAAAGAAGGGGCCATTCAAGGGCTGGATCAAACATTGGAGGTACCACATGAAAGTAAGTGTAAATGAACTGGTACATCTCACAGAGTACAGAATGGGCCACGCCAGACAAATCTTCCTCTGCAAAAGGCCTGCCAGACACCCCCAAAGAGGGTCCCAAAATTTGGGCTGGGTTAAACATTTGAGGTACCACATGAAATCAACATAAAATTAACTATTTCACTCTACTAAGAATAAAAACCCCATTGCCAGACAAATCGTCTGCTGCATAAGGCCCGCCAGACACCCCCAAATGTTGACCCTTAATGCACTCAGTGGACACTCTGGTAAAATTTGACCAGAGTATACATTCAAAGTACCAGATGAAAGTAAGTTTAGATCAACAGGTACATGTTACTGAGTACAACACGGCCCATACCTGACAAATTGTCCTCTGCATAAGGTCCGCCAGACCCCCCAGAGAGGGTCCCAAAATTTGGGCTGGGTTAAACATTGGAGGTACCACATGAAACTAACATAAATTGAACAATTGCACTCTACTTATTGCATAACACCCATTGCCAGACAAATCATCTTCTGCATAAGGCCCGCCAGACACCCACAAAAAGTTGACCCTTCAGGTATACACGGGTAAAATTGGTCTGGAATATATATCGATTGTACCACATTAAGGTACGTTTGAATGAACAGGTTCATATCACAGAGTACAGAATGGGCCACACCAGACAAATCTTCCTCTGCATAAGGCTTAAACATTGGAGGTATCACATGGAACCAACATAAAATGAACTATTACACTCTTCTTATTACAAAATATCCATTGCCAGACAAATCCTCTTCTGCATAAGGCCCGCTAGACAGACCCACACCCCACCCAACACAGTTGACCCTCTGTAATCCCAGTGTGCATAATGAAACATTGGACATCAACTCTGAGAGTCAACAGATGGTCAAATTTATGTTTTGTTCTTAAAGGTGGA